AGTGCTCAGCTCATATAAAATGATAGTTGTTATCATTAGTGGAAGTATATAAATTCTAGTTCTACTATTTCTAGTACTTCATCCTTTAAGGCAATAGCTGAATTCAGTCTTATGGTAAACAGAACACTGAGAAGCCAACAGAGCACCTTGTCATCAAACAAAGCAAGTGGGTGCTCCTGTGCTTCATGATCAATAGCTTTCCCCCACTCACTCCGAGCAGTTCTGTATTATAAACACAGTGGTCACGGCAATGTCAACTGTGTTCCCCAATTAAAACAAACATGACAGTGCAATGAGGAATTATGGAGATTTATGGCATGGTAAAAGCCTATGTCTACTAGTAGTATTAGGCAACTCAATTCTCTGAGCCTTATCAATATTATATTATTATGGATTCTATAATAACATGAGAGGATAACTATCAGGCCTACGTAAGGTAGCACATGTTAAACATACAGGACTGAGCTCGGTGGAATTCTCTTTACCCCTTTCTCTAGTATTAGTGGTGCTTATACTTGCCAGAAAGATCAGAAATTAAAACTGAGGATAAAAGAAGGACAAAAAACCTTTATGTTAAAAAAAAAAAAAAGGAAATCTCAAATTCTAGTAAAAAATATAAGTACAGTCATCTTAGGAGCTGCCATTTAGAAAAGACTAAGAACTAAAACCATGATGTACAATAGGACAATATGACCAGGTCATAAATACTGCACAAAACTGGCACTAAATAAATATATGCTATAAAACAATATCCATTGAATCTATTTCTGATTTAAAACAACTCTTCCTTGTAAGAGAATAAAACATGCAAAACCTTACATACCTTCAGCATTTATACTGAGTTCTGTTGAATTTTCTTCTGCAGTTGCATATGGATTGTTTCCAACCATTGGCACAAGACAATCAGTATAGAAGTAACCAATTTTACACATATTCAGTGTAGAAATAATCAAATCTATTGCAAGCTGGCCAACATTTCCAACAGATACTGCTGGCTGAAATAAAAAATGTTCATTAAGTAATCAAAATTAGCAGCACTTTTAAAAGCTTAGACAGAAGACAATAATCACAGGACTACATCTGAATGGTTATGCTCAGGTGCATCAGAACTAAATATGGACTCTTTGCATTAGCTTCAACAAGGTGTCAGCAGGGGCTTCCTCTACTTTGGAGACTATTGGTTTAACACCTTATTGAAAACCGACTATGTGCCAATCATTGCTCTAAGCACTAGGAATGCAGGAAGACAAACGGATAAAAATTCCTGCCTTGTGGAACTCTCATTCTAGTAAGGGAGTAGTTAAATATAATAAAATAGTGAAATACAGGCGTACTTTATTTTATGGCACTTGAATGTCTGTGGCAACCCAGCCTCAAGCAGGTCTTTTGGCACCATTTTTCCAACAGCATTTGTTCACTTTGTGTTTGTCACATTTTGGTAATTCTCTCAATATTTCAAACTTTTTCATTATTATTATATTTGTTATCATTTGATCTATGGTAATTATGACTCACCAAAAGCTCAGATGATGGCCAGCATTGTTTAGCAATAACATATTTTAAAATTAAGGTATGTACATTGTCTTTTTAGACATAATGCAAACTAATACATTATAGTATAAACATAATTTTAACATCCACTGGGAAACCAAAAAATTCATCTGACTGGCTTTATTGTGATATTCACTTTATTGCTGTGATCTGAAACCAAACCCACAATATCTTTGAGATGCCTATATACAGAGGTAAGTGCTGTGGAGAAAAATTAAGTGAGAGTGTATATGTGTTTGGTTGCAATTTTAAACAGGGTGATCAAGGAAAGACTTTAGGTGACCAGTCAACTATAGACCTGGGAGACTTAAGGAAGACAGCCATACGAAGACCAGGGAAAAAAACACTTCACGCAGTGGGAAAGCAAGTATAAAGGCTTCTTGGGTCATCTTTCCCTTTGCTTTGTTAGTGCATAAAGGTTAGAGTCAGCTTCTTTTTACGTTGAACACACACACATATTTACCCCCATGACTTCAAACAGTCCAACTGCCAAACCTCTACCTATCGCCCAGAACATTTATCTCAACTCCAGAGACTAATGGATATCTCCCCATGATTCTCTCATAGGCAATGCACATTCAACATGTACAAAACTAAACTGTTGCCCAAACTTGTCCTCATGTTTTGTATTTCAAAAGTGAAACAATTACTCAATTACCTAAACTAAAAAACTTCTTCCTTTTCTCCTACCAACTACTTAGAATACATGGCTAATTTTTATTGATTCTACTTATCTCTTTAATATAGCCCTTCCTTTGCATTCTTCTAGCAATTGCTTCCCCCATCTCCATTTCCTCTTATTTTTCTGGGTCCCTCAGAGTGGTCTCCCACTTCTCATTGCTCTCATCTACTACTCTCCTGGTTATCTTCTGTAATTCCCTTACCCTTCCCAAGGATTCTGCTACTTAGTTTAGACTGTTTCTCTCCTGTAACATCTACACTTTCCTCACTATTGTATTCTTCTCATCACTATGTGTATGTATGTATGTATGTATGTATGTGTGTGTGTGTGTATGTATGTGTATATATATATATACATACACGCTATATATGTATGTATATATGTATTCAGGCACTTTATCTCTGAATTAATGAACAAATACATACATATATTCTCTATCTCTTCTTCCACTTATTCAGCCCACTCCAATATGGCTTCCCTCCCTTTGCCACTTTACTGATAACGGTCAAGGTTACCGCCAATAATCTCTTAGACATTACTTTCCCCACGAATCTTTTTTTTTTCTTCTGCCAGATATCTCCTGGAAGGATGCTTTTCTCTTTTGTGATTAATAAATATTTTTCAGAGAGATACTATGAAATACTACAAAATTTCCTTCAACAGTACATCATCACAAATTTTAGCATTCACTGATATTTCTTGCATGCATTAAGGTGAGAATTGCCCAAAAGTGATTATCATCATTTAAAAAATTAAGATATAACTGACATATAACAGTGTATCAGTTTCAGGTATAAACATATATCAGCTGATATATATATATATATATATATATACATATTGTAAAATGATTACCACAATGTTTACTTAACATCAATCAGATACACATTTTTCTTGTAATGAGAACTTTTTAAAAGAATGTTTTAATGTTTTATTTATTTTTAAGACAGAGAGAGACACACACAGAATCCAAAGCAGGCTCCAGGCTCTGAGCTGTCAGCACAGAGCCAGATGTGGGGCTTGAACTCACAAACTGTGAGATCATGACCTAAGCCGAAGTCAGAGTTAACTGAGCTGCCCAGGCACCCCTTGTAATGAGAACTTTTAAGATCTACTCTCTTAGCAAATTTCAAATATACACTACAGTACTATTAATTACAGTCACCATGCTGTACATTACATCCCCAGGACTTATTTATAACTGTAGAGTTGTACCTTTTGACTACCTTCATCTATTTCATCCAAGCAGCTCTCATTCTCATCTGCCTCTAGCAACCACCAACCTGTTCTCTTTATCTATAAAGTTGGGGTTTTTTTTTTCCAGATTCCACATATGAAGCTTTTTTTTTTTTAAACGGGTCCCTGTGTCCCTCCCCCTCCCAACAAATCCTAGGGTTCTTCTGTGCCCTTTACAAAGTGCTATCCTAGCATTTATTGCCCTTATTGATTTACGTGTGTTTCCAACTAAACTGGACACTCCTTGAGAACAAGGACCTAGTCTTATTCTAATAGACTGTTTATTGAAACAGTGACTGAATATGGGCAATTTTAGGAGCAATAAAACCGTGTGTTAGGTACTGGCAAGGTTTCCTTTTCTGTAGTTATCTGGTTAATGACAAAGCCCTGCCAGCTTAAGAAAGGCTCTGCTACTAGCTGGAAAAAAAGATTTTCTAGGATACAACGAAAAGAAAATGGCCCGCACAACCTACGTACAATGTTACCAATAACAATCAAACACATGACGTTTTACAGTTAAGACTACAAACTCTAGTCTCAGAAACGTCTGGTGATAGCGCCAACAAAGATTCTTTCTGCAGCCCGGACTCCAGCGACAACCTCCCCGTTTTAAGCAAGCACCGACTTCTGTCCCAGGGCGAGTGAAAGACCTCGAGGCGCGGTGGCGGCCCCCCAGGCGCCTCCCGACAGACAGCACCCCAAGCCAAGCAGGCGGAGCTCGAGAAAGCGGGACTCACCATTAGGAAGGTGAAGCCAGCGAGGTCGGGGACAGAATCTCCGCAGGGAACAAACATGGTCGCACCGAAATGGAAGGACTGGGCGAGCACTGACCTAGAGGAAACACAGGCGACGCGAGCGCGAAACCGCGAGCGCCTCGCTCAGTCCGCGCGCTGGAGTCCCCAGAGCCCCTAGCGACGGGAGCGGGGCGGGGCCGTGGAGTCGCTCGGCGTGGGGTCCTGAAGGGCCCGTCCAGCTACCTGCCGGTCCGCAGTGCGGAAGGGGCCCGCGAGTGGGGAAGAGATGGGGGTCGGCAGCGCCTGCGGAGACCCCGGCAGGGCAGGGCGATGGGGAGCGCTGAGGTTGCTGGGTGGCGACCCCGAGGGAGGGGAGCGGCAGGTGGAGGTGGTCAGGCAGGGCTGGGGGCAGCCCGAGGCTTGGTAGTCCGCGCCGTTTGAAAGCAACAGTTGAGAGCCGCAGCCGCCGCCGCAGCAGCCGCCGCTTCGGCTCCCGCCCAGCCCGGCCTGACGCGGCGTCGCGCCCCCCGGGAGCTGCGCGAGGCCGACGGTCGCGCCGGCTCTGCTCTGCCGCGTCTGGCACTCCGGGGCTGGCCGGGGAGCGCCCGAGGCGGGGAGAAGCGCGGTGAGGCGCTGGCCCCAGCATGTCGCTGCCGCCGGAGAAAGCCTCGGAACTGAAGCAGCTCATCCACCAGCAGCTGAGCAAGGTGAGGGCCGCGGGCGCCGGGCGAGACCGGGCCTCTCCGCCCGCTTTTGGTCCTGAGCGCCCGACCTGGCATCCCGAGGCCCGACCGACGGCGGCGCCTGTTTGCCGGGGACACGAGCGCAGGCTCTGGGGCGCAGAGCACGGCTGGGCCGTCTCCGGGTGTCCAGCCGGGGCCGCTCTCTAGCCTCGCTGAAAGACAACAATGCCGGCAAGTGCTAGTGAGAGTTTGAGGTGACGGAACGTGGGAGAGTGATAGCACAGCTGTGAGAACGAAGCATTCATCCCGCGGTTTCTGGAGATCAGATCGAGTACAAGTTGTGTTTGGAGCAGGTGTATATTCAGAGGTCTGGAATTGGAATTACTTTAAGGGTGAAACTTGTGTCTTTCAAGTTGAACCAAATCAGCAATTCTTAAAGAAGTCATGAAAGGGAAGTTACTGAAGGACTTGCAACGAAAAGCGTTTGTGATGTTTCGAAGCTCAAGGAGAACATTGTTGAGGTGCTCAACTGAATGCAGTAATCTGAAATAATAAAAGCTACGGTTTATTGTACACTTGCCAGGCTTTCTGCTCAGTGTTCAGCATTTTTTGGCTAAGCCTCACAATATGGTCTTGGCAGGGCATTATTTTTTTTCCAGATTCATAAAGGGTGAATAAGTTAACTCAGGGTCACATCTAATAAGCAGACTAACAAAGGTAGCAGATAACCAGCTGAAATTATTCCTAGAATTTGTACTAAAAAAAAAAAATCATCCTAAATTTTTTTTTGGTTTTCTTCCTTTTAAAAATCTTAACCTTTATTCTTATTGAATTCTGGTAACAATTTTACATTTACTATTATCTTGAGAAGCCTTCCTGAATTTTATCTATCTACTCTCCCATCATTTTTTTTTTCCTTTGGGTGTTTTAGAAAGAAATTAGCTGATTGGCAATGTTTGATGGCTTTGTAATGTAAATGGTAATTCGAGTTTTCTACGTAGATGGATGTCCATGGCAGAATAAGAGAAATCCTTGCTGAGACAATACGGGAAGAATTGGCACCTGATCAACAACAGTTATCAACTGAAGATTTGATCAAAGCCCTTAGACGTCGAGGAATCATTGATGATGTGATGAAAGAACTTAATTTTGTTACTGTGAGTAATCTTTTAGGGGAAAGATTTTGAGAGTATGTTCTCATGCTTAATGCCACTTATAGGGTCCATATTTGGGGCCTCTTTTTAGGAAAACCACTTTAAAATGAGACAATGAGACAATAAAAGAGCATGCAACTCTTGTGGTTTGGAGGCTCACATTGGGTATAGAGATTTCTTAAAAAGTAAAATCTTTAAATAAACTTTAAAATATTAAATAAATGAAATAAAATGTTAAAAAATGAATAAGATCATTTTACCTAATACTATCTTTACTTCAAATATAAGCTAACTCTACCCTTGAAAAATAGAAAGTAGGATTATGTATCAGTGAGATTGGAGTTACATACCATATTGCTCTCTCTACAGAATTTTCTGTTGTTATTCTCTGGTTCTGTAACTTTAAGTATACATATTTTAGTTAAATTAGGTCTTTTTCACTAGTTCTTTTTCACTAGTATTGTTCTATAACGTTTTTGATTAGGCATATTTTTTTAATACATTCTTTTGGAACTCCATTGTCTGTGATTAACAAATTATCAATTTCTTTAAAAAAATGATTGCATAAGAACCTTCAAATCTCTTCATACAAATAGGTCAGTAATGGGATGATAGTCTCTCAGTGGACGAATTAGTAAGTAGGTCTTTTGAAAATGAGGCAATAATGAGAAACTGTGACCTCAATATCTGGGTATTATAATGTAAAAATTGGATGGACTGCATAATACATCAGGGAATAAGTTTTTTAATACAGCCTCTTTTTTTGGTTTTTGAGGTTTATTAACCCATTTGTTTAAAAATTGACCCAGTAACAGCTTCTGCTATGGGAATGTCATTTCCTTGTTAAAATTAGTTCATGGTAGAATCATAAGGCAAATGTTAGGTTTAGAAAAAGTTTACCCTTAAGACATTAAGAATTTGTTTTTAGCATTCTGTGGACATTGGTTGAAGGCTGTTTAATTACTTATCAAACTTTAGGAGTGACCAGTAACACCACCTTTTTTGCAGACTTTTCATTATTTTAATTATGTAATTATTTAATTAGGCTGGGAAAAGTTTCCTTGAGGGGGGCTTTATACTATTTACTTAGTTCCATTGTTGCCATTCCCTTGCTTAGTTATATTTTTTGTTTTCTAATTTGTTTTCTTTTTTTTTTCTGCCTTTCTAGGACAGTGTTGATCAAGAACTCCCTTCCTCTCCAAAGCAACCTGTTTGTTTCACTGATAGACAATCAACCTTGTTAAAAAAAAGTATGTGTATTTCTTTTTAACATTGATTTCATTTTGGATAGTACTACATATTGATGTGCTATAGTGTTTGGTATTTGATAGAAAACATTTTTTCCTTCTGGAATGAGATACTAATATTTTTATGATTAATCATCCAAAAAAACTTAGATTCTGTTTTGCATGAAGTGTGTATTATGTCAGAAGATTTAACATGTAGCAGAGTGGAAGCAAAAACAGGATCACCTGTTGCTCATGTTTTAATAATGTATTTTATAAACACTGTACAGTCTTTTAATGGTAATTACTTAACAAGTATACTTGCTGAGCTGATATTTGTCTGAGTTTGTGGAGGTGAAGGAGTGTTGGATAAGCAACTAAAAAGTAGATTTCTTAAGCATTGGCTCTGACTCCTTTCTAGCTGGGAGAGAGTAGCCAGCATATAAACTCAGATAAAAATATTTTATTATGTATCTATTCTTCCCTGGTTGCAAATGGTCCTGGTATACAGTAAATGTGTTACTTTTTCTTTATTTAGTCTTTGATTTTATTTCTGTCAAGTTATTATTTCCTATTGTCTTGATCACATTCCTTAAGTTATTTGGCAGTTTCCTCATATATATTGCTACACTTTACAGCTAATATTGATCCAACACGGAGGTATCTTTACCTTCAGGTTTTGGGTGGAAAAGCTTTCTTGGAACATCTACAAGAACCTGAGCCTTTACCAGGACAAGTTTGTTCAACCTTTACTTTATGTTTACATTTTCGAAACCAACGTTTTCGTTCTAAACCTGTTCCATGTGCCTGTGAACCAGATTTTCATGATGGCTTTTTACTTGAAGTACACAGAGAAAGCTTGGGTAAGAAGCAATAATAAATTGTCATTTTATTGAGTAAATCTTTGTTAGGTTTTATTGCAGAACAACCATAAGACTTTTGCTGTAATGAGAGATTTAAAATGAGTAAATCTCCCTAGGTGTTTTTTTCTCCCCTCTTTTTTATAAAATCTACTTCCACCCGCCTTCTTACTTTATTTTCTGCTACTTAGTTTTCCTTGAAGATTATTTTTTTACTGCTTTAATGGTTGCTTCTTTTGTAATAAACACTTAAATGCGTATTCGGTGCATTATACAATACTAGGCTAGTGCTGAGGATATATTGGAGAATGAGTCATGATTCTACTCATTTATAAAAGATGGCTAGATTTATGATGTTACATAACTTTCAAAAATAAAAAAAGTTTAGAGAGGAATCTATAATTCTCATAATTTTAAAGTTGTGATAGTTGATTCCTATAATTATTTTACATAGCTTCTGTAAACATATTTTATGTTTTGGTTAGCAAATTTAGCAAAGTTACAGAATTATACCTTTAGAATTTTAGATTACCTAAGATGGTTAATACACTATGAAAAAAATTTTTTTCCCCTCGTGAAAAATGTTGCCTTAATTAGGCTGTTAATGGCTTCACATGCTGGCTCCAAGGTGCCAATCTTTCAGTTTTGTGTAGATAATACAGTGATTATTTCTGGAGGTTTAGGGATAAAGGTAGTTTAGGGGTTAATGTTGATGTATTTGAAGGCTTTTTATTATGGTAGATTTTAGTTAAGTGCTTTTGTTTATTTTTTTTTAAGTTTATCTTATTTATTTTTGAGAGAGAGTATATGTGTGCATACAGGGGTGGGGCAGAGAGAAAGGGAGACAGAATCCCAAGCAGGCTCTGTGCTGTGAATGCAGAGCTTGATGTGGGCTGCAAATTCATGAACTGAGAGATCATGACCCAAACTGATATCAAGAATTGGATGCTCAACTAACTGAGCCACCCAGGCGTCCCTAGTTAAGTACTTTTAAAGAACAGACTTATCTCTTAGGGATGAAAAACCCTGATATGCATTGAGTAACTAGATGACTCATCACAATTATTCTAGTTTTCTCAAAAGTTAGTGACAAATTTGGGATAGTACTTTTTTAATAATTTGTTGCATACTTTCTGAGGCATTACTGAATTATTTCATTTGGTTTTATGTAAGTTTATTATTAGTATTCTTTGCAATAGAACTGTTCTATGTTGGCCATAATGGAATATGTAATGTGGTGCATTTGTTTGGTTTATGTTGCCAGGTGATGGAACTAGAATGGCTGATTCAACAACAATGTTATCAATAAGTGATCCAGTTCATATGGTGCTAATCAAAACAGACATATTTGGTGAGACTACTTTAGTAGCATCCTATTTTCTTGAATGGCGATCAGTTTTGGGCTCAGAAAATGGAGTGACCAGTCTTACTGTGGAACTTATGGGTGTAGGTATGATAACTAATCACTGTTACCTTTTTGTAACCAGTTTGTTTGTAAATACATTTTATGTTTTCCGAATGCCTTTATAACCCAAGAAGGAAACATGTAAAAATTTCATTAGAATTACAGTTGGACTCCGGTATTATAGTCTTAGGAAATGTCTTGAAGTGTGCTATGACTATAGAACTTCACAGTCAATCTGACCTTGTCTTAAGGAAAAAAAATTTTTATGGGAAATGAATAGAGAAATTTTGATAGCTTTTTTCTCCTCTCCATATCGATCTGATAATATGTAAGGCTGTAAAGAAAATTAAGATTTTTCACACACATGCATGTGTGCATATGCAAAAATCTTATAGTTTAGCACACTCCAATGTTCGGTGCATCCCCATTAGTACTAGTGTCTTCCTACAGCAGTAATTCAGATGTGGAGTTGATATTCTTCCATCCTGTTACATGTGGGAATGTGGGACTCAAAGAGGTGTTAACTTGCTCATTGACAGGATCAGTGAGTGAATAGTACTCTTTGAGGACAGAGGTGGTGCCTGTCTTACCATTGTCTCCTTGGACTCTTTCGTACTTCTTGATGTGTAATACATACTGTATTTGCTAATAACAGTGAAAAACAAAATGAAACCTGCCAGTATTTTATGCATAACCTGTAAGGGAATTAGTTTGGTATTGAAACTAAGTCACAGAATCAAACCTGGCTTGTGGACAGTATAGCTTTAGTACTTTAGATTTTGGTAAGTCAGACCCAGAATGTGTTTTTCCTTAAATAGAAAGTAGGGGAAAAAATTTATGTGGGATATTTATTTTCAAAAGAGATACCCATTATTTGTCTTCAAATATAGGCCTAACATGATTATCATAATAATGACCAAGAAACAAGTGATTCACCAGTGAAATAGTAAATAGTTCTGGTATAAAGTATATTTGTTTTCTGATTCCTTAAATCCAAGCAAGGATTGAAAATTTGTACTCACAGGTGATGTGAAAAATGGGAAGAAATAAATGGGAATTACTTTGGATGACAAAGAGTATAAATATTTTCTGAGAGTGAGATTTTAACAGTTGTTTTGACTTTGTTTTTAATGTAAATGTGGTTGGCGTACATTTAATGAGATTAAAAATTAAGAATCCCAAATCAATTAAATCCCAAAAGTCCCTTAAAATGTGATTAGGAAGGTCAGAAAATAGGTAATCTTATAATTAGATAAAGGCCTTTGTACAAAATAAAAACTAATTTGATCTGGCTCAAATAATATGAATATTAAAGGTGATGTTGAATATTACCTATTTCATGTAAGTGGAAACACAAAATTCTTAAATTATTTTGGTTGGACTTTGGTTGACTAAGTATACATAGTTTTGAAACCTCTGAAGTTCTAAATATTTATATTTATAGGCACAGAATCAAAAGTTTCTGTGGGAATTTTAAATATAAAACTTGAGATGTACCCACCACTCAATCAGACATTATCTCAAGAAGTAGTGAACACACAGGTAAATAATTCTGAATTTCTTTTCTTTGTGTATTTGTTTTCGTAGTTGTATATTTACCTGTTGATCCTAGACAGTGTTTTCTTAGAAAATTATCATTTACTAGTTTTAAGCAAGAGAATGACAATATGATTATTAAATTTTTGTCTTGGGAGAATAAAGATCACTGACTAATATATGTAGACCAGATTGTAGAGAGGGTATGCAGAAACAGGGAAGTCAGGGGCTTCTGGGTGGCTCAGTTGAGTGCCAACTCTTGGTTTTGGCTCAGGTCATCTCACACTTGAGATGGAGCCCCGCGTCGGGCTCTGCACTGACAGCGTAGAGCCTACTTGGAATTCTCTCTCCTTCTCTCTCTACCCCTCCCAGCTGGTACACACACGTGTGTGTATGTGCACATGCACATGCTCTCTCTCAAAGAAAAATTAAACTGGGAAGTCAGGGGCTCTTACAAATGATGACGATGATGGTGGTTTAGATTAGGGTAGTGGTAGAGATGGGGAGCAGTATGTAGAATTGTTACGGTATTTAATTAAGGAGAAAAAATAGAAATTGAAAAAATATATTTTTTAAATTTGAAGCTTGCTTTGGAACGTCAGAAAACTGCAGAGAAAGAACGATTATTTCTTGTATATGCTAAGCAGTGGTGGAGAGAATATTTGCAGATTCGACCCTCACACAACTCCCGGCTGGTTAAGATTTTTGCACAGGTTTGTAAATTGCATTGGGAAAGGTTCACATCTGTATTTGAGATTTACTGTTGTATATGTAAATTTCATATATATGTAAATTTCATGTATGTAAATTTCATATATGTATAAAGTTGAATTTGTAAAATGTATTTATTCCAGACAAATGGAAGTTTATTTGTAAAAATAGAATGCTGATTTTGTGATACTCTCTTTTACTAAGTAAGTGAGTAACATAATCTTTGTTTTAATTTGGTTTTCATTTTCAATTCCTTTTTAAAACCTTTTTTAATGTATTTGATTTAAAACAGATGAAAACCCATTTTGTTTAACTTGGAGTGTGTCCCTGACTGATACTTAGTACTAAATGATTAACTACTAGGATACTTTGTGGTATTAGTTTTCATGTGCAGAATTGGGGCTTTGGGCATATATGCTTAGACATATATGTTGTTAGGGTATTTTTTTAAAGACAGTGTTACATGTAATAATTCTATTTAGCCAATACATCTGAGCCAGTGACTAGTCATATTTAACTGCATCATTTCAATTATATATCTCTGCCTCTGTTTTTTCTTGTATCCCATGCCCATTTTCTCTCATTAACAAATCAGCATAAAATATATGATCAGATCCTTAATTTGTGTAATTCTGAGGAACCATTCAAATATTTTATATATATTCAGTGTTTTATAGATGCTTTTATATGAGCATAGTATGGTGTTATTTTGAGTAACATATCTCAAATCCTGTGCATTTGTCTAGCTTTACCCTGGGATGGGCTAAGAGTGGTTCAATTTCTAAATGAGGAGCTTAGGAATGGGAGAGCCTACTTGATGAGTGGTGGAAATGAGGGAAAAGGTTTCTCACTTTCTGATCGCATTGTCTGTACATTGTTTGGGCAGGTGAGGTGGCAGTGACGTCAGGATGGGGTGGAGAGAAACCAGTCAAAATATAACTGGCTCTTTACTGTCTATTTAGTCTGAGGTGAGATTCATTGCCATGTGGAATCTGGGACCAGAAGAAGACTGGGTGGGTGAGGAAGTGGATCAAAGAAATGACAAATGAAAGAGGAGGAGGAAGAGGTTGAGATATGCAGTTAAGCAAATCAGGGAATGGGGATTTTCATGCAGAAAATATTACTTAAACAAGTTCTCGTCTCTTAAAATTCATTGTAAGAATATTTGAACCACATAGGTCATTAGTTTCATGGTAACCATATGAGATTGTCAATTTGTCAGGCATTGACACTTTTGTAAAAATAAGCAGTATAAGGGATAAAGGAATGAAGAATCTTTCCTAAGATCAAACAGCAACTCAGTCTTGGACACTTTATTAAGTTGCACTTTTGCCTAGTGCTTTTTTAGCTTGATGGGACCACCTCTCTCTATATAGAGAGAGTAAATAAACTGTTTATCTTACTGCTATTCCCCAGAAGTGTTTTTTGCTGCTGCTTTCTATATTTGATTCGATAGGAAATTAAGGAGCACCAGTTACTTAAGGCAGTCAATCCAATCACAAAAACTATAGTTTTAAACAAAAGAATATTATTATATAATATAATTAAATTATATTTATATATAACATAATATATAATATTAAATTATACATGGTCTGAAAATGAATTTCCATTGCTTTCAGACACAAGAAATAGTTTACAACAGTACTATCCTTCTGGAGTGATGGAAATGTTCTCTGCTGTCCAGTATGGTAGCCATTGTGCTATTAAGCATGCAGAATATGGTTGATGCAATAAAGAACTGAATTTTAAATCTTACTTAATTTTAATTAAAATTTAAATAGCCACATAGGGTTGGTGGCATTCTTAGTGGAAATTCTTAATTCTTAGTGGACATTGCAGGTTTAGAAGCTGAAATATTGAAATTTTCAAGACATTTAGTTTATGGGGACATTTATAGGAAATATTGCTGTAATGAAACATAGGATATATTTGTATTCTAAGCTGCTACTACTGAGGATTGATTTAGGGCAAATGCATCCACCTTTTAGGTGCTCATGCCTTCCCTATTAGTGGAGTTGTAAGAATAGGACTAAATGGCTTACTCAGGAACTCAGTTAATTACCTTTATCCTAACCAAACATCTGTGGAATCCTCAGAGTCATTACATTTAATAATCATTGTACTTTTTCTCCCTCCCTTGCTTGTTTTGCTACAGTACAATAGTAATTCACTTAATCATAGCTTTTAAATTTTCTAGTGCAAGAAATTTTTAAAAAGTTATAGAAGTTGATCTTTGAGGCCATTAAATTTTAGGAAAATGTTATAAATCACTTGAGGATTGAGATTATCTTTTTAATGTTGAGATTGTGATTTCATGACTTAATATTCTCATACTACACTAGATTAAAAATAATACTGAGTTAATGAGTTAACGTAAAAGAAATCCAAGTAGTAGTTTTCTACTTGTCTCTAAAATTAGAATCATGATTTTCCGTTTTAAAAATGAGTGCCTTGTGGGGTGCCTGGGTGGCTCATTTAGTTGAGAATCAGACTCTTAGTTTTGGCTCAGGTCATGATCTCAGGGTTTGTGGGATTGAGTCCCATGTGGGGCTCTGTGCTGACAGTACAGAGCCTGCTTAGGATTCTCTGTCTCTCTGTCTCCACTCTCTGTGCCCCACCCCCACCCCCACGTGCACGCTTGTTCTCTCTCTCAAAATAAATAAATAAACATTAAAAAAAAAAAATGAGTACCTTGAAATACCCTATGCTTAAATCTCCTTCCTTTTCCTGTCTCTCTTCCTTATTTTCTTTATCTGTCTTTGGTTCTTCATTCTATTTCAGGTTTTGTTTTGTTTTGTTTCAACTGATCCCTTCATTCTGTCTCTTTCTGATTCCTAAGATAGCATGGGGGAGATGGAGACTTAGAGACTACCATGGATGTGTTTGAGCCAGGAGGTACAGTGGGGTGGGAGAGGACAGGGGAAAAAATCAGTGCCTTTTAGAGTTGAGGACCATACTTATGAGTGAAATCATAACATTTTGCTCTGCATCATATAAGAATTCATGGACTTTCTCATTATAATTAAATGAAAATGATAGGATTTTTTTTTTATTGCTAAAGTATGAGATTATATTGGAGAAGTGATGTTTTGTGGTGTAGAAAAGACATCTATAGTTCCGATAATTCGAACAGATGATGTTTCTGTTGGCTGAGTTAGGTCTTATTTCTGAGGAGCCTTGCCATAATAGAGAGTGTTGTCTTTGAATTTTGAATAGAAAGTAGACCTTTGACCTTGTCATCTCAGTAATCAAGAAGTTAAGGGAAATGTGGGCTTTTATAATATTAACTCTAAAAGCATAGTGGTAGACAGTCATCAGAGACTTTTGTATGCACTGTAGCTCTTTAGCTCAACTCCTAGGATATATTCTGTATTTGAAATGTAAGATGTTTTTTTTAAAATGATTTTCAAAACTCTGCTTTCAGTTGACTTGGTTAACAAATCGTTGTTTCCTGTGGATCTCCAAGTGTAACGGAAACAAACAAAATGAGCTATGATAATATGTTGTTGTGTCAGTAAATCAGAAAAGCTATTGTTTGAATACATAGTATTAAATTCTCTATGATAATATGAAAGAATAGTTTGGCTTAGAGCCCCTCTCCATCCCCTACCCACTTGCCTATTCTGTTTTCAGAGGAGTTCTTTTTTTTTTTTTTTTTTTTCAGTTTTATTGAAGGATACTTGACGCATATAATTGTATATATTTAAAGTGCATGACATAATGACTTGATATACATATATGTTGTGGAATTACTACCAAAATTAAGATAATGAACACATCCATCACCTCACATAGTTAACTCTTCTTTTGTGCGGTGAGGATGCTCAAGGTCTATTCTCAGCAACGTTCAAGTTTATTAACTACTCATCATGCTGTACGTTAGATTGTCAGAACTTTACTCTTCTTGTAACTAAAAATTTGTACCCTTTAGCCTACATCTCCCCTACTCCTCCCTCTTCCCAACCATTCTATTCTCTATTTCTTGAAATGAACCTTTGATTTGTTTTGTTTTGTTTTGTTTTGTTTTAAGGTTCTACATGTAAGTGACAACCACCATACAAGATTTGTCTTTCTCTGTTTGGCTTATTTCATTTGGCATAATACTCTTCAGATATGTCCATGTTGTCATAAATAGCAGGATCTCCTTTTTTATAGCTGAATGATACTCTGTTGTATATGTAATATCACATTTTCTTTACTGATTTATCCATTAAAGGAAATTTCAGTTGTTTCCATACCTTGGATATTGTGAGTGATGCTGCAATGAACATGGATGTGCAGATATCTCTTTGACATACTGATTTCAGTTGCTTCAGATATATATCCAGTAGTGAGATTGCTGAATCACGAGAATTCAAGTTCTTATTGTCACAAGCTTTGGAGTCAGACAGCTCAGGGTTTAAATCCCAGCTCTAGGGGCGCCTGGGTGGCGCAGTCGGTTAAGCGTCCGACTTCAGCCAGGTCACGATCTCGCGGTCCGGGAGTTCGAGCCCCGCGTCGGGCTCTGGGCTGATGGCTCAGAGCCTGGAGCCTGTTTCCGATTCTGTGTCTCCCTCTCTCTCTGCTCCTCGCCCGTTCATGCTCTGTCTCTCTCTGTCCCAAAAATAAATAAACGTTGAAAAAAAAAAAAATTTAAATAAATAAATAAATAAATAAATAAATCCCAGCTCTATTCCATAACACCTGTAGCTTCAGTTTCTTCATTTATAAAATGAAAACAGTAAGAGATGTTAAGAGGACTAAAAGAAAAATTACATGCACAGCCCTCAGCTTCCTGGTGCTGGATGCAGGGTAAGCATTCAATAAGTGGTGGTGTCCAGAATTCTTTTATCCCACATTAATATGTTCTAAGAAAGTGTTAAAATTGGGGATGATTAATCTGTCATTACAGTGTTTTCCCCTCTTCCCCCAGGATGAAAATGGGATAAATAGACCAGTCTGTTCCTATATTAAACCACTTCGAGCTGGGAGGCTTTTGGATACTCCAAGGCAAGCAGCAAGATTTGTTAATGTCCTTGGTTATGAAAGAGCCCCAGTTATTGGAGGAGGAGGTAAACAGGAACAGTGGTGCACTCTGCTGGCCTTTCTCTGTAGAAACAAGGTATCCTACCTATGTAATAGAATTGAAAACCAGTACATCTTCATTATTGTGAATTTATTGCATTTGAAAATAATTAACTTAGAAAAATGGATATATTGTCCGTTTGAACTAGTCAGAATCTTTTGTTTTCAATACATAAAGAAAAACCTTGGCATCTTTATTTTCTTGTATAGCTTCTTATTTAGTGTAATATGATTTTTGTGAGGTAGAGACAAGTAGTATAGTGTCAGAAATTAAGATATAGAGGTAAATTAAACAGTGAATTAGAGATGGCGCTGGGACCAGAACAGCGGTCTTTCTAGTACTATTCATGTGTTAAAAAATCTACTTAGATGATACATTTTTTTAAAAGAGAAAATGGCAGTACAAAGTGAATATGGAAAAAAGTCTTGGATTGCATGGTATTGTGTTTAGTTTCAAATATAAGTATATATTTAAGAATTTGTGTAGGGGTTTCTGGGTGGCTTAGTCAGTTGAGCGTCTGAGTTGATCTCAGGTCATGATCTCGCAGTTCATGGGTTCAAATCTGACGTGGGGCTCTGTTCTGACAGCATGGAGCCTGGAGCTTGCTTCTGATTCTGTGTCTTCCTCTCTCTCTGCCCCTCCCCCACTCATGCTGTGTGTCTCTCTCTTTCTCTCTCTTTCTCAAAAATAAACATTACAATTTTTTTTAAAAAGACACATTGTTGATTTTTATTTAAAAAAATTGTGTAAGTTTATTGATGTTAAATGAATTGATTTCAGTAAACTAATTTTATAGATTGTGTGTGATATTTCCTAATCTGTGTTCTAAAAATTTTGATAATATAAAAATAAGAGCATCTTTAAGCATTCCAGTTCTACCAAAACAGAAGAAAAGAAATTTCTTTATTGTTTTGAAATAATTTTGTTTAGTTTGAGGTTGTATAAATAGTATGAGTGTTCATTCACAAGGCAAAGCTTATCCAGTAGAACCTATTTAAGATTAGAGATTGATTTGTCAGAAGGATTTTACCTTAAAAACAATTGAAAACTTAAACATTATAAAAAAATTATTTTGATTTATTCTCAAGCTATGGTTTCCAAAAGTTGTGTTTATGGATTTTAGCTTTTTAACTTCAAATATAGTAGGAATGGTACATATTTAAAATTATTATGTAAAAAATGATTTTGCAAAGCAAATAATCATCCCTTTGATTCACTATTATGTTCACCTGAGTTTTTTTAAAGAGAAAGAATATCTTAAAATTAGAATCTTGAAAATTATTGAAAAAGTTATTCTTGCACAAACAGCAGCATTACAAGAGAAAAGGTGCAATTTCACATATAATTCTATTGCCGGTTTTTCATCTCTTCTTATATTTTTATATTTTTCTCCTGTGTATTTATCATTCTTTCTATAATTATAATTGAGATATAAATAAAATTTTGTGCCCTATAATTTATACATTATAATTTAACATTATGCTATGAACATTTTTCCATGTGTTGCTATAATTTTTATGATCTCCATTTTAAAATGGTTGTCCGTATAAGGTTTTCTTTAGTTGACATACAAAATCTACTTAACTATTTTGCCATTGTAGTAATTGTTTCTCTTGGCTACAGTAGGCTTGCTTCCAATTTTTTGATGTTTTTGTGAGTAAATTTTTCATTGAATATCTTTGGGAGTATTATTTTTCCTTTGAAATTTTTAAACTATAAAATCTCAGTATAGAAATTGGGTGTAAAAGGTTGGATATTATATTTTTCAAAAGTCAATTAATGATTTTAAAACGCTATTGGTTTTAGTATAGTTAATAAAAAAAAAAAAACAGCAGTGCACGGGCATCTGGGTGGCTCAGTTGGTTGAGCCGCTGACTTTGGCTCAGGTCATGATCTCACAGCTTGTGAGTTCAAGCCCCACGTTAGGCTCTGTGCTGACACTCGGAGCCTGGAGCCTGCTTTGGATTCTGTGTCTCCCTCTCTCTCTCTGCCCCTCCCTCCCTCCCTCTCTCTCTCTCTCTCTCTCTCTCTCTCTTTCAAAAAAGTAAATAAACATTAAAAAAAAAAATGGGTGCAGAGCCACTAATACAAAATTTGGGGGGAAAGAAATCATCCCCCATGCTAACCCTGAACTTTTTTTGCTTTTGTATATTAATTACCCACAGTCCTACACTTAAATACATATCTTAATATAATTGCATCCTTACTGTTTAATATTTTGATTTTTTTATAGAATATAAGATATATTCTATTTTTGTGGTTTTCATAACATTTTTAAGATTTGAAAGTAATAAAACATTGTCAAAGAAAATTTAGAAAATAGAAGGGAAAATTATATATAATCTACCATAATTATTGCCACTGTTGGCATTTTGTTCTCTCATTTTTCCTAGTATTTATTGCCTTAAGATGATTACATATGGATACTGTAACTCATTGTTTTGAGTATTTTCCCATGTATTTACATTTCTTAGTGTATCATTTGTCATCTTCTCTGTTCATGTCCTTTAGCTAATCATCTTTAAAATCTTGCTGCATTTCTATCTATGTTTTATGAGTTTTTATAAACTTTTGATATGAAAGCTCTCTTTTTAAAAAAAAATTTTTTTTTAATGTTTATTTATTTTAGAGAGAGAGACAGAGGGCGAGCAGGGGAGGGACAAAGAGAGAGGGAGACAAAGAATCCAAAGTGGGCTTCAGGCTCTGAAGTGTCAGCACAGAGCCCAATGTGGGGCTCAGACTTCTGAACCATGAACCATGAGATCATGACCTGAGCTGAAGTCAGACGCTTAACCTGCTGAGCCACCCAGGCAGGCACCCCTGAAAGCCCTCTCTTAAAGTATACATGTTATGACTATCAGGTTTGTGAGCACTGACTGTGTAAAATAATTTAGGGTCTTCTAAAATTAGTGTATTTTGTCCCCCCACCATTGTTTCAGCTTAACATTAGACTTATGATTAAAAGTGAAAAAATTAATATTCCCTTTTATTATAATTTTGTATTTGAATATTTGATGAGGAAACAATGTGAAGGAATAAATACTTAAATTCATTTCATTTTCTAGGGTGACTGTGAAGATCATGCTAATCTTCTGTGCAGCCTTCTTCTTGGATATGGATTAGAAGCTTTTGTGTGTGTTGGGACTAAGGCAAAAGGAATACCTCATGCATGGGTTATGACCTGTGGAACTGATGGAACTGTCACTTTTTGGGAGAGTTTAACGGGACACAGGTTTGTCAATTCAGCTTACAAGGATATTAAAATGAAGATGCATATGTTTTAAATTATAAGTTCTTTGTTTATATTGGTACCCAAAGGCACATACCGATAATTTTTATTATTGGATCCTTTGTGAGGACTATGTAAAAAATTACTATAGTTAAAAAGCTGTTAAATTTGAAGAAAATTCATATACCTAGAATATTCTTTACCAACATGATTTTGGTGAAAAAAAAAATTACATTTTACTTTTAATTGTGTAATTGGGATACTCTTTTTCTGATGTTTTTCCCCAAGCCTAAAAATAAGCTCAGGTTGTAAATCATGATTTCTTTTGAAAATTTGATGTCACCAACTCCACATTGGTAAATCCACTGTATACTTTTTTTTTTAGTTTTTCTGTCATCATATTTTTTAGAGTTCAGTGCTCCCTCCTTGCTAGGATCATTTCTTTCCTTAACTTCTCCCATAGCACTTTCAGTTTTCATTATTCCTGTCTGGCTATTCTCAATTTTCCTTTATCTTGTCTTTAAATGTTGGAGTTCTTGGGGCGCCTGGGTGGCGCAGTCGGTTAAGCGTCCGACTTCAGCCAGGTCACGATCTTGCGGTCCGTGAGTTCGAGCCCCGCGTCAGGCTCTGGGCTGATGGCTCAGAGCCTGGAGCCTGTTTCCGATTCTCTGTCTCCCTCTCTCTCTGACCCTCCCCCATTCATGCTCTGTCTCTCCCTGTCCCAAAAATAAATAAACGTTGAAAAAAAAAAAATTTTTAAATGTTGGAGTTCTTAAAGGCTCAGCCCTGGGCCATCTTCTTCTTTTTCTGAATTTTTCCCTGGTTGATAATCATTTTGGTTAGTTATGCCTAATAATACGTAGCTAAATTATTTTAATTGTATTATCTGAGATGAATGTTTTTGATCTTAATGATTATACATAGAATATATTCTCATGTTAAAGTAGAGTTGATTAAAAACATTTTTTTTAATGTTTATTATTTATTTTTGAGAGAGAGAGACAGAGCAGGAGTGGGGAAGGGGCAGAGAGAGAGGGACACACAGAATCTGAAGCAAGCTCCAGGCTCTGAGCTGTCAGCACAGAGCCTGATGCGAGGCTGGAACCTACGAACCGTGAAATCATGACCTGAGCCGAAGTCGAATGCTTAGCCAACTGAGCCACCCAAGTGCCCCCCGAGTAGAGTTGATTTTTATATCATACTATGTGCCATACAATTACTGTAGATAGAGTAATTGTAGAAATATAAGAAGGAAAAACAAATATTAAACTCTAGTTTTGGGAAGTAGTTATGGCCTTAAGTGTTCAAATAATTTTCTTTCTCAATAAGATGCTGCCTTCTTAATTTTTAAGTTCTTATTATATAAAATTATGATTTACTTCTTTTAGGTATATCCACAAACCTGTCAATCCTGATGAATCTCCAGTTGCTGAACAGCCCAAGCCATTGTACCCATATCGAACAATTGGTTGTGTTTTCAATCATCAGATGTTCCTGGGAAATTGTCAGCCCTCTGACTCAGTAGAAATATGTGTGTTTGATTTGAATGATGAATCCAAATGGAAACCCATGAGTGAAGAAGCAATCAAATCTGTGTGTGCCCCAGGAGCTACAACATCCCTTCCTCCCTTTCCCCCTCTATGTGCATCTACAATTGATGCTTCAGTAACAAGTAATGAAATAGAAATGCAGCTAAGGCTACTAGTGTCAGAACACAGAAAGGTAATTAATACTGAACTTAGTAGTTTCATGCATTTTTTGTCAGTTGTCTATGTATTTAACAATTTTGGGAGGGGTGCAGGTGGGATAGTACAGTCACTTTTATACCTGAACAAAGCAAATTTAACAAAGCAAAGGGCAGCAGAGTTCCTGCCCTTAAGAAGCTTATAGTTTTGAGAGTCAAGAGAGTTAAGTTCTGAGACTCAGAAATTTCCAAATATACCAATACTTGTACTGTTTTTTCTTTTTAAGTTTATTTTGAGAGAGATGGAATCCCAAGCAGGCTCCATGCTGTCAGTGCACCGCCCCGATGCTGGACTGTATCTCAGGAACCGTGAGACCGAGAGTTCTTGACCTCAGCTGAAATCAAGTCACTTAACCGACTGAGCCACCTAGCACCCCACCAATACTTTTAAAATTTATTACTTCCTTCTAGAAATAAAGAGTGGTGAACTAGTTCAGATTTTGTTAAATACTACTGTTTTTATTTCTTTTTTGTGAAGTACTTATTCGTATTATTCCCTATTGAAAATATTGGGTTATAATTTTTTATATCCATTTTTTCCAGGTTAGTTTTGTTTGTTTTTTTCTTCCTATTACACTAACTTAGGTAGATGTAAAATTACATCCTTCTAGCTTTAATTTGCATTTTCCTGATTACTTATGAGGTCAAACCTCTTTATTAGCCATTTTGATTTCTTTTGTAAAGTACATTAACGAAGACATAAAAAGCATTAATCATAAAAGATTAGTGTATTTTAAGAATTTTTGTTCATTAAAATAAACCAGTCAGAGGCTGAAAAGAGCAGTACTGGAATGGGGAAAGTTATTTGCAACACATATAACCGATAAAGGACTAGAATCTCAGAAAATTTATTTCTAATTCACCTTTTGATGAATCCTGTTTTCTGTGTTTCTTGAGGCCATCAAAGGCAAACTGATAGATATGTTTTCTGGGCTCCAGTTACTATTAGCTTTGGCCTCTAAAATCTGCCATACTTACTTGCTAATTCATCAAAGCATCTAAAAGTATTTTGGAAAATATTTAGTCTGGCATTTGTAGTTCTCAGCAATAGGTTGCTCAAGGATCTAGTTCACTACACTGCTGGGAATGAAAGCCCCTCATTACTGCCCCTTTCCCTCCATCACTCATACTGCATTTTAATTTTCTTAGGTTTTGTTTACAAACAAAACCAGTATTTTATTACATTATAAGAATTTGAATAGAGAAAGAAAACAGGGGTGCCTGAGTGGCTTGGTTGGTTAAGCGTCTGACTCTTGATCTCAGCTCAGGTCACGATCTCACAGTTCACCACCCACCTCGGGCTCTGTACTGACAGTGCAGAGCCTGCTTGGGATTCTGTCTGTTCCTCTCTCAGTCCCTTCCCTGCTTGCATAGTCTCTGTCTCAAAATAAGTAAGCTTAAAAAAATTATTCTTTGTTATTATTTTCTTTAAGTTTATTTGATTTATTTTGAGAGAGAGTGCATGCATATGAGCAGGGGAGAGGCAGAGAGAGGGAGAGAGAGAATCCCAAGCAGTCTCTGCACAGACAGCCCTGACCCAGGGCTCGATCCCACAACTTCGGGATCACGACCTGAGCTGAAACCAAGAATCAGACACTTAACCAACGGAGCCATCCAGGCACCCCCTCCAAAAAAATTTAAAAAATTAAAAAAAAAAACAAAACTGAGCTAGATACCAGTGTTGATCACTAAGTTAGTAGTGCCTGTAAATCAGCAAGTGAGATTTGCTTTTGCTGCTGGAAATAGATGGATGATACTGGACCTTTGAGGTCACTTGGAACCAGTAAAAACCTTGAATGCAAAATCAAGAAATGCTAGAGATTTATTATATCAAAATATTTAGAATTTTGAGAAGTTTTTTATGTTTATAACTGTTTTTAAAATGTCATGTGTCTCACTATCTGTAGTTTCTCTGATGTATATAAATGAAATCATAATTGCCTTCAACATTTCATAGAAACATGTTTTAAACTCCCTGAGGGCCTATAGCATGTCTTTTTCATCTTTTTATCTCTTTACAGTATAAAAGTTAGTGTTTTTTTAAGAGTTAATGCTCAATAAATACTTGAGTTTAATTATACGTGCAATTCATTTGTTGACTTTTCTCCCCTACTACAGTTAAATTTATGTTGGAGCTCTCAAATTAAGCAGATTCAATTGTATTATTTAAAGTCAAATAAAATGTGGGGCGCCTGGGTGGTGCAGTCGGTTAAGCGTCTGACTTCAGCCAGGTCACGATCTTGCGGTCCATGAGTTCGAGCCCCGCGTCAGGCTCTGGGCTGATGGCTCAGAGCCTGGATCCTGTTTCCGATTCTGTGTCTCCCTCTCTCTCTGCCCCTCCCCCGTTCATGCTCTGTCTCTCTCTGTCCCAAAAATAAATAAATGTTTGAAAAAAAAAATTAAAAAAAAAAAAATAAAGTCAAATAAAATGTGATCTCAAAATTCAGTGATACCATGTTTTTCATAGTAGGACTACTCCACATGGTCTTTTCTAGTGGATATTAAGGAAGTATAGGATTTTGGAGCCTTTACTAACATCATTGTATTGAAAATTTTTTGTTGGGGGTACCTGGGGAGCTCAGTCAGTTAAGCGTATCTGACTCTTGATTTCAGCTCAGGTCATGATCTCGTGGTTGTGAGATTGAGCCCCTTGTCAGGCTCTGCGCTGACAGCATGGATCCTGTTTGAGATTCTGTCTCTGCCCTGTCTCTCTCTCTCTCTCTCTCTCAAAATAAATAAATAAATAAACTTAAAAAAAAAGAAAAAACATTTTTTTCCTCTAAGAACTAAAACCAGATACCTATAGTTCCTTTTATTTTTTATTTGCATGTGTCTTTATAATAGTTACTAGAAAGTTTAAAAAATTATGACAGGTTTTAAGAATTTTCTCTTGGCATATGTTAAAATAGTCAACACTTAACAATTGGTTTCTAAAATATTAGTGTATTTCACCTTTTCTTTCTTTCTTTTGTCTTTTGATTGCTATAGGATCTTGGTCTCACCACTGTTTGGGAAGACCAGCTTTCCTATCTCTTATCACCAGCTTTGGCTTCTTATGAATTTGAGCGTACAACAAGTATATCTGCAGGCAATGAAGAATTTCAAGATGCCATAAGGAGGGCTGTACCTGATGGTCACACATTTAAAGGGTTCCCAATACATTTTGTATATAGAAATGCAAGGCGTGCATTTGCCACATGTCTTCGGTGAATGACTTTTCGAATTCATAAATGTTATTATTGGCTTAACAGTTTTAGCAATCTGTTAGTCTGGTTTTTTAGGAATGATTTTAGAATCACATAATGAAATTTTATAATGATTTCTTTTCCTTGCCACAGATTGTGAGTCTGAAATGTAGCTCTAGGTAGTTGGATAATTTTCCCATTGATTTTGGTGCAATATTAGTTGAAGATTTCTGATCTTTTCTAGTGTAATTTTTTAAATTTATACACTGTGAGGAAATGTTCTATATTTCGGATAGCTTAACCAAAATTACAGGGCTGTTGGTAGCGAGACAGGATTTTTAAAAATTATTTTAAATGCTGACTTACTTGGAAAAAAGTAAAACCTATGTTCACTTCTTAATTGAATAAATCTTCTTTCTTCTGTAGGTCTCCTTTCTGTGAAGAAATAATCTGTTGCCGTGGAGACCAGGTGCGACTGGCAGTTCGTGTCCGAGTGTTTACTTACCCTGAATCTGCATGTGCTGTTTGGATCATGTTTGCTTGTAAATATCGCTCAGTATTATAGGACTAACATTTCTGTAAGAATATACCTGTATTTTATTGGAATTTTACACATTGTACATTACTAGCTGTTTAGAGGTTCATTATTTTAAAAATCATATTCTGGCTTGGATGTCACATTTTACTATTGTATATACCTGACTGAAAATGTTTGAAAAAAATCATGTATGTATTTAAAAATTAAGAATGAAAAACTTGTATAAATCTGAGTGGAATTTAGTATAAATTAAGTGTTTATTTTATTTTAATAAATGCTACTTTGTTTACAGGTATTCAGTAGTTTAAATATGAATATAAAATTTACCCAGTTTTCTTTGCATTAACAGGCAATCAGCAAGATACTTATTTGTCTGAGGGTTTGAGCCATAGTAAAGTCAATATGGAACATTATTTTTCATAGCTTAAATGAGATTATTTTATATAAATAGAAATTAACCTCACAACAGATTTATTTATTAGGTAAAAATACATCTTGATGAATTATCACTTTAGTGGTTTACCCATGGCTATAGGGATATTTATGACTTTCCAGGGATTTATGGGAGGACTTCAATGCAAGAGCAGGAAAAACTAATACCCGAAAACATAAATATTAATAATAAAAAAAACTCACAGAAAAGTACATGAATAATTTATAAGTATTTGATTGAATTATCATAAAAATGAATTGAGTATTTTAGAAAAAATTTATCATACTCTTTTTTTATGATACTGATAAAGTGTTTTCTATAATTAATTTTTTTTAATTTATTTTTTTAAGAGAGACAGAGTGCAAGCAGGGGAGGGGCAGAGAGAGAGGGCAGAGAACAAGCAGGCTCCAGGCTCTGAGTTGTCAGCACAGAGCCCGACGCAGGGCTCAAACTCATGATCTCTGAGATCATGACCTGAGCCAAAGTCGGACACTTAACCAACTGAGCCACCCAGGTGCCCTTGTTTTCTATAATTAATATTTGCAGTCTGTTGCTGATTTTCTGTAGTCAAAGGATCCATTATTAGCCTCTTCATGGATTCCATCTTAGGACCCCACATTTGTTTTTCTTTCTTCCCTTTTTTCATTGTGATAAAAACATCAGTGTATATGTAACTACTCTAAATGGGAGAATCATTATGTGAGGCCACTGAAATATAAGCATATGTAAGGGACTTCCTTCTGATACTTGTTTTAAAATCGAGCAAGCCTTTTTTTTATATATAAATTTTTTTTAATGTTTATTTATTTTTGAGAGATAGAGACAGTGCAAGCAGGGGAGGGGCAGAGAGAGAGGGAGACACAGAATCCAAAGCAGGCTCTAGCCTCTGAGCTGTCAGCACAGAGCCCAATGTGGGGCTTGAACTCATCAACCGCAAGATCATGATCTGAACCGAAGTTAGATGCTTAACTGACTGAGCCACCCAGGTGCCCCTAAAATTGAGCAAGTTTTTAAGAGAGCAACAGTGAACATTAAAAAAGCTATAGCAGTTTCACTTTTTGTAATAAACTGCATGATGTGGTAGCTATGACTGTCCATTCAGCACCTCTATGCACAGTTCTTGATTCAGTTGCTTTTTCCATTGGTCTTCTTAAGAAAGCACCTGTGCAAGTTTTTCTTTTCATCACTTTACCTCACCATTGCAAATAAAATGATTTAATGTTTTTTAAAAAAATTAAAATCTAGAGGTAGCCTAAAATTTACCTTTTATTTTTATATATGGTATTTATGATTTAGCTTGCTTAAAAAGTCTGAAAATATCCCTCTTCTCAATTTTCTTTGAAAACAATAATCAGATATTTCTTGTGAGACTGACATGACTTTAGATAATTAGAAAAATAAGAATTAAGACTTTTTTATTCTGTTGTCAAAATTACTCATAAAGCTATCAATAGAGAAAATCGCTTGTAATTTTCACCTTTTGGAACAAACTATTTATGAGGCACATACTAAGAGGCAGACTATGTTAGGATGAAGGCTATATTATCATTGAGGCTGGGCTTCCTGCCTTACTGTACCAGAGTAACACATGTATCCATAATGCACCTTTGGTATAAATTCTGAAATAAATTTCCTTTTTATTCACTTTAATAGAGTCTGGCATTAATAATTTTCTGTAAAGGTGGTTTATTTCAAAAGATTATTTCAGTGCATTTATCACTAGAATTCTCTTATTACTAACAATTTTTCTTTTTAAAAATTAAATATATCTTGTCTATTTAGCTGTCATAAAGGTTGTTTTCCTATTAAAAATGTAAAATTTTTTATATAATGTCTTTAATATGTTCTTTTAGACAATATGTACGCTAGTACAGTTCCCTATACATATATATGTGTGTGTGTGTATAATACATAGGTGTATTTATTTAGTAGAAGATTATCAGAACCCTAGAAAGTTCATTACTCTAGCATGAACCTGTTGAATAAAAGTTATTAAATTTAGTTCCAACCAAGTGAACACTCCAAGTGCTGTTAAATTTTTTTCTTGTATTGAGGTATACATTTTTTGATATCTGCAAAAACACATTGACCACCTGGCAGTTCTGGAAAGTACACGTATTTGAAACCCAGTTTTCTACTTTTTAACAAGGACAAGGTTTGAACCAAAAAAAGTAGCCTTTATATTTGAAAAGACTGTTGCTATTAAATTACTATTCTATACCATATAGCTGACCATCAGAATACATTAGTTACAAACCATCGATTGTTTAACCCATTTATACTTCTGATTTCATGCTGTACTAAACAGGAACATAGTTAAGGTTAGACTACAGTTCAGATAATAATTTCATACTTTCTATTTAATGGAAATAAGTACAGGAATTAGATTATCTGTTTTTTTAACATGCTTTTTTTTTTTAAATATTTATTTATTTTTTGAGGGACACAGAGTGTGAGTGGGGGAGGGGCAGAGAGAGAGAGAGGGAGCCACAGAATCTGAAGCAGGCTCCAGGCTCCGAGCTGTCAGCGCAGAGCCTGATGCGGGGCTCGAACTCACAAAGCAGTGAGATCATGGCCTGAGCTGAAGTCAGACGCTTAACTGACTGAGCCACCCAGGCGCCCCTTTTTTAACGTGCTCTTAACTTTTAAACCAATGAAAAAGTAGCATTGTTTTCAAGCTGTTGGCAGTTGAAAAATAATTTGGGATTAGCCAAAGCCTTTATAAAATATTAAAAACAAAATAGTCAAACATATAAACTGGAAGCCATCTAATTTTGAAGAACCTATTGTTTATTGTTTATAGCATATTCTATATTTTTATAGCATATTCTACATTTAAAACACAAGTTCACTTACAGTCATCAATGCATTTAAGTGTGGGTATTAAATGTTTACTATTTTCTTCTGAGATTTGGTTGGCATAGGCCTTGTAATTACATTGGACCTTTATTTGGTTTGTGAATTCACTACATGCACCAGTGTTGAAATAGTCATGGATACTAGAAGGGAAGGTAGAGGAGGTTATTAGCTGGTTGTTAGTTCACATATACTCTCAGGAAAGATTTCTTTCTCTGATTCTATGGAATTTAGACTTGTACTAATACTCCAAAAACAGATGTTTCCTAGTGTTTTTGAAGGTAGCTATTTTTTTTTTTTTTTGGTTTTGCATCTATACAGTTTTAACTACCATTATACTTATGCTATTTTTACATGTGATTTAATATTTCACGGTTTTGAATTACAGGATTTTGGACTTGAACAGAATCTTAGGTCTTCTAGTCCACTTAATTTATATAGTAATGAAATGGAGATCTAGAGAAGTGAAGTTCCCTGTCTAAAGATAATATTTCTAATAGATCAGTTCTAGAGCCAAGTTCTGACTTTGAGTTTGCTTCTTTTTTGCTGTATCTCTGTACAATGTGAGTTTTTTTTTTTTTCCTCTGGGGATGGCATTTCAGGATATGACCAAGTAACCCACATAGTATGGAAAATTTTCATTTTAGTGGTTCTACCCAAGACAGGGACATGGAAGGCACCAGTCTTTATGATACTTATCACATAACCTATAAAAAATTGCGGTGATATTTGGGGCATCAGGTCAATGACAGATGAGGCCAGAATTACCTTTCAGGGAGTCTGGCCTAGGGAAGCTGAAGCCCTTAGAGGGGTAGTGAGCTCCTTGAGATTCCTTGTGGTGTAGAATTCAACTATTTGTATACTTAAGAGATTCAGTAAACTGACATATAAGAGTAGTGCCCACTAACATGCATCTAGAAAATAGTTCAGTCCTATTCAGTCTGTTTTAATTCTGAAATCCATTTATTTACAAATTAGTTGTTTAACTGGCTACTTGTTACTGAACTTTTACAAAATCTTTTCCTTATACAAAGTGTCCAGTGAGGGAATGGGAGCAATGGTAGTACTAAACTGTAAGATGATTGTCAGAAGTTAAATCTATTTGATTTGAGCATAAGCAAACAGATTTTATCACTAATTTTTAACAGCTTTATTAATATAATTTGCCTACTATACAATTAACCATTTTAAAGTATATAATTCAAAAAAAGTATATAGTTCAGTGGTTTGCATACAGTCAGAGAGATGTGCAACCATCATCAATCAATTTTAGAACATTTTACCACCTCAAAAAGAAACACTGTACCCTTCAACTATTACTCTATCTCCCCTCTTTGCCTCCTAGCCCCAAGCAACCAGTAATCTACTTTCTATGTAGATTTCCCTATTCTGGATTTTCTTATGAATGGAATCATATATGGTCTTTTGTGACTGGCTTCTTTCACTTAGCATAATGTATAAGATTTATCCATGTTGTAGCATGTATCATTATGTCATTCCTTTTTTGGGCAAAATTTCCCTTGCATAGTTACATCATATTTGTGTATTTATTTGTCAATCAATAGACATTTTGGTTGTTTCCATCTTTTGGCTAAATAATGCTGCTATAAACATTCACGTCCAAGGTTTTGTGTGGGCATGTGTCTTCATTTCTTTTCAGTATATACCTATGAGAGGAATTGCTGGGTTAATATAATAATTAACATTTTAGTGAAATGCCAAATAGATTTCCAAAGCAACTGCACCACTTTCCAATCCCACCAGCAGTGGATGAAGGTTCTGATTTCTTCACATTCTTGCCAACACCTTGTTATTACCTGACTTTCTGATTCTAGTCATCCTAGGGTGTGTGAAGTGGTATCTCCCTGTGGTTTTTATTTGCATTTCCCTGATCTCTAATGATGCTGAGCATTTTTTTTCACGTGTTTGTTGGCCATTTGTATATCTTCCTTGAAGAAATGTCTATTTAGATCCATTGCCCATTTTTAAGTTGGGTTGTCTTTTTA